TTTTAAAAAAAGCTAAAGTGGATAAAGAGAAATACTTTTAACTGATGGTATATGGAGGGCATTATAATCATGTAATGAAACAAGTTATATGAATTGTTTAATGTGAAACTGATGATGTGCCCTGTAAACTTTCACTCAATTCACAATAAAAACCTTAAATTAAACCAAAAAAAAAAAAAAAAAGGGGTCCATAATCACAGGCATAGAAACTAGGTTTCACAACACATCACAGAATGGAACACTATGAGTACAAAGCCATAATAAATAATTATTTTAGTTGACCTGAAATAATACATAATCAGAGGAGTGATCATTTTATTTTCTGTTTCCCAATAACCTTCACTCAATGATTTTAGAATTACTGATGATCTTTGCCTTAATTATAGTGCAGTTAATTGCATAATATGGCGCTTCTATCCATAGACTTTGTAACTCTCACCAATAAACCTGCTGGGACTGGGTAGGAGAAAGTGGGAGAAGATGCTGATAGATTTATATGATTCAGTTGTGAGTGACTATTAACAGGGATAATTATAATTGGTTAATGTTTGTCTTCCTCATGAGTATAAAATGAGCTTAGAAGCAGGAGGATGAAATCTCACTACCTTCCAAGAAGAGCCAGGAGTGGAATGCATCCTTTGGACCCAGAAAACCCTGTGCATTGATGCTCCTTGGTCCAGGGACAGAAAGTTGTGACACTGGAAGAGTGACAGAGGAAAACCAACAGCAGAACAAAGAGCATGAGACAGGGCTGTGGCCTTTCCAGTCCATGGAGCAAGTAAAGCTGAGTGATTTGGGGGTAGGAATCTTGCAAAGTGGGTGCCTCCAGGCAATTAATTGTGGAATTTAGGTTTCTTGAGTGTCACCAGGCTGAAGGCTTATGGTGGAGAAGTGTGCCCTGAGGGCATTTGTCAGCATCCCTAAATGAGCTTTGCAGCATTGTCAGAGCAGGGCAGAGAAGGACCTAGGGTCAAAGAGAGGCCTGTCTGTGGGCAAGGCTGAGGAGAGGTTGTTCTGAGGGGAAGAACTGTGCCCTGAACATTTCTGACCTGAGTTGTAATTTGTTGTTGTTAGGTACCATTGAGTCGGTACCAACTCATAACAACCCTATGCACAACAGAACGAAACACTGTCCAGTCCTTCTTCAGCAAATGATCCCTCCTGACAATATGTCTGAAGTATGAGAGACAAAGTTTGGCCATCCTGGCCTCCAAAGAACACTCTGGTTACACTTCTTCCAAAATGGATCTGTTGGTTCTTTTGGCAATCCATAGTACTTTCAATAGTCTCCTCCAACATCATAACTCAAAAGCCTCAATTCTTCTACGGTCTTCCTTATTCACTGTCCAGCTTTCATATGTGTATGAGGTTATTGAAAATACCATGGCTTGGGTCAAGTGCACCTTAGTCCTCAAACTGACATCTTTGCTCTTCAACACTTTAAAAAGGTCTTGTGCAGCAGATTTGCTGTCATTTTATTTCTTGACTGCTGCTTCCGTGAACGTTGATAATTGACCCAAGAGAATGAAGTCCTTGACAACTTCAATCTTTTCTCCGTTGATAAGAATGTTGTTTATTGGTCCAGTGGTGAGGATTTTTGTTTTCTTTACATTGAGATGCAATCCATACCAAAGGCTGTGGTCTTTGATCTTCATCAGTAAATATTTTAAGTCCTCTTCACTTTCAGCAAGGAAGGTTGTATCATCTGCATATTGCAGGTTGTTAATGAGTCTTCCTACAATCCTGATGCCACGTTTCTCTTCAAATAAGCCAACTTCTTGGATTATTTGCTCAGCATACAGGTTGAATAAGTATGGTGAATGAATACAATCCTGTTGCACACCTTTCTTAATTCTAAACCATTCAGTGTTCCCATGTTCTGTTTGAACAACTGCCTCTTGGTCCATGTACAGATTCCTCATGAGCAGAATTAAGTGTTCAACAATACTCATACTTCGCAATGTTGTCCATAGCATGTCATGATCTACACATTCGAAATCCTTTGTGTAGTCAATAAAGCACAGGTAAACATCTTTCTGGTCTCTGATTTCAGCCAACATCCATCGGACATCAGCAATGCTATCCCTCGTTCCACATCTTCTGAATCCAGCTTGAACCTCTGAAAGTTCTCTGTCAATATATGCTTGCAGCCATTTCTGTATTACTTTTATTAGTAAAATGTTACTTGCAGGGGATGTCAAAGATATTGTCCAATGATTTCTGTATTCCATTGTGTCACCTCTCTTTGGAATGGGCACAAATAGGGATCTCTTCCCATCAGTTGGCCAGATAGTTGTCTTCCAAATTTCTTGGCAGAGATGAGTGAGTGCCTCTTGTGCCGCCTCATTTTCTTGAAATATTTCAATTTTTATTCCATCCATTCCTGGTGCCTTGTTCTTTGCCAATTCCTACAATGCACCTTGGACTTCTTCCTTCAGTATCACTGGCTCTTGATCATATGCTACCTCTTGAAATGGCTGAACATCAACCATTTCCCTTTGGTACAGTGACTCTGTGTAACTTGTTAGCTTCCCTAATAAGCACTGTAACTGTGAGTATGGTGTCTCAGTGCTCTGTGTATGTTGCAATGGATTATTGAACTCAGATAAGAAACAGAGAAGGCTGTATGAGAACTGGTTCCATTGTTGTTAAGTGCCATCGAGTGGGAAATGATTCATAGTGACCCTACACACAGCAGACCGAAACACTGCCCATTCTTGGGCCAACCTCACAATTGTTGCTGTACCTGTGCCCTTTGCTGCCACCACTGTATTAATCCATCTCTTTGGGGAACTTGCTCTTTTTCTCTGACCCTCCACTTTACCAAGTATGATATCCTTCTCCAGTGACTGGTTCCTACTGATAGGCCATGATTCTTAGTGATTTATCAGATATCATGTAATCATCCTCAATTTGTGATCTGATGTGAGCAGCCAATCAGTTGAAAAGGGAGTTTCCTGAGGGGTGTAGCTTGCATGCAATATATGTGCATGCTCTGGCAAAACTCGCCCTTTCTTGATCCTACATCAAACTCATCATTCTCTTATCTCTGTTTCTTAAGACATGACCCAGAAACCTGCTATCTGACCAGCCAATTTTAGGTTCATCAGCTCCTGCAATCACATGAGTTAGAAGAAGCCTTCAGACTGATGCCTGATGCATGAATTTGGGACTTGGCAACTTCAACATGAGCCATTTCTTTATAATCTCTATCTACTTCACTGGTTTTTCTCTTTTAGAGAATCCAGCCTAAGACAGATCTGTACAATGATTCCCAACTTTATTAGATATTTCTTCCCCCATTTTAATGACAAGCCATAGGTAAGTTTGCCTTATCATCATCATAGTCCTGCATTTGGTCTCTCTTCCTCATTTTGAGATTCTATCTCAGGCCCTGAACCTTCATCTTTAGCAGTAGTCACTGGACCAATCCCCAGCCTTGACTTCTCTATAGGAATCACAGTGATATTTTGATCTGGGGAAGGAGATCTGGAAGTTATGTAGTTGAGAAAGGAGATTACACCTAAGGAAAGAGAAGAATTTGAAGTGAGGCTCAGTAGATTGATGGTTTTTTGGCTATAAAATTTCTTATTCATCCTCTAATATTCATTCAAAAGAGCTTTTTCAGAGAAGCTGATATTGTTCTCCCACTGCTGGGCTCCCATTGTAATAGTTTATCACACTGGTTTAGACATAGCTTGAACCTTCTGGATTTAAATAACAATTCTGCCACTTTCTGTGTGGTCTTGGGCAACTTTCTCAACCTGTTCTGACCTCAGTTAGTGATAGAGTATGTTAGTAAGTCTAAGTTTTCTGACTCCAAAATACATGTTTTGTCTACTGCACCACAACGCTGTTCAATGTATAAAGTTTCTAAAGAAGGTTAGTACCTTCTCTTTCCAGAAGTGATTTTCCTCTATCCTTTTAATACAGGGAGGGAGACTGACTCACCAGCAAACACATATAAGATGTCACCCCACCAGTTAAGATAATAGCTCCATAGTAGATTTGACTCCATGACATCCCCACTATGCCAATGAACTTGTTCCAGGAATAAGATGAGGCAGAGAAACAAGCAGGTGGCTAGGATCAGAAGGAAAGTTATCAAAACCTGTAAGAGTTGCCAGTATGTCTCCACCCCCAACTCCATCCCCGCCCCTCCACACACACACTCGCAGCTCTTCTTCTGACTCCAGAGACTAAATGTATAAAGATCAAAAGAAATGTTATTTGGGGATTGGCCCATATGAGAGAGAAAAGGGAACTTCTACCCTGGTAGAAGTCAGTTAAAGCATGCTCTGTACAATAAGACAGGGCAAACATCTGGAACTTGGTGTCATACTGAAGAAGAGAAAGGTTAAGAAAAAAGAGAAATGTTACATTGACAATTTTACCATGGTATTATCCTGCCAGTCTAGGTCTGTACCTGAGGTGAAGCAGAGTATGGATACCTTCAGATCCAAGTTGATGGTCATGCTTCCTCTTCTAGGGAGACATGCTCTGAAGAGCCAACTAAGGCCAATGAATATGGTGAGGACAGAGATGAAGAAGAAGATCCTGGAGTATTGGAGATAGTCTGCCAAAAAGAAGAGAAAGGAATGACTTGATTATGCCAGTGGAAAGCTCTCCTTAAGGGAGTTAAACAGTCTAAAGAGAAGAAAGTAAGGACAAAGGAAGATTATTGTGTGGCACTGGGGACACAAAACAGGATCTTCTTTCCTAGGTTTTCATTGATACTTGGAATTTCGTAAATAGATCAAGCCTTCATAGTTAAACTAAAGTTAAAATACAAATGGTGGTGGTTATGTGATGTTGAGTCGGTTCCTACTCATAGTAACCCATATAGGGTTCCTGAGGTTGTAAATCTTTATGGAAGCAGAAAGCCTCATCTTTGTCCCAATGAGCCACTGGCAGATTTAAACCACAGCCCAGCTCACAATCCATTATGCTATGTGGGCTCCTTAACGAACAATTACTCTTGAGTAAAGTAACACATTCACTTAGTTATAAACTAGCTTATAAGCAGTGTGGCCCTAACATCACAAGACTGATGAAAATGTTTTCTTAGTTCTAGTTTGAATTCTAAAAATAAAACGTATTTATTCATATATATTACTTGACAGCTGCGCCCATGAGCACTGACCATGGATCCAAGCAAAATGAAATCCTTGACAGCTTCAATCCATTTATTATGATGCTGTTCATTTGTCCAGTTGTGAGAATCCTTGTTTTCTTTACACTGAAATGTAACCAAATTGAAGGTTGTATTGTTTGTTTGTTTTTTAAAATCTTCATTAGTAAGTACTTCAAGTCCTCTTTGCTTTCAGCAAACAAGGTTGTATCATCTTCATCTCCTAGGTTGTTAATGAAACTTCCTCTAATCCGGATGCCACATTCTTCCTCATATAGTCCAGTTTCTTGGATTATTTGATCAATATAACATATTTAACAAGTATGGTGAAAGGATATAACCCTGATACAAACCTGTCCTGATTTCAAAACACTCAGTATCCCCTGTTCTGTACAAACTACTGACTCTTGGTCTGTGTACAGGTTCTGCACGAACACAATTAAGTGCTCTGGAATTCCCACTTTTTGCAATAGCATCTGTAGTCTGTCATGATCTTTGCACAGTCAATAAAACACAAGTAAACATATTTCTGGCATTCTCTGTTTTCAGCCAAGATCCATCTGATGGTAACAATGATATCCCTCATTCCATGTCCTTTTCTGAATCCAGTTTGTATTTCTGGAAGATCCCTGTCAATGTACTATTGTAGCGATCTTTAATTTATCTTTAGCAAAATTTTACTTGCATGTGATACTAATGAATTTGTTGTTGTTAAGTGCTGTCAAGTCAGTTAATTTCCACACATGTAATTATTTTTTAAAGATCATATGATAAACAGTGTCTGGCTACCATTACTAAACATTTTCATCAAGGACACAATAGGTAGATTCTGATTTTAAAAAACAACAACAACAACAACAACAAAAAACCTTGTAACAGAGTTTCAAATTTTCACGAAAACCAGACTTATTGTAATAATGTTGGGTGCAGACTGGGGAAAACCCTGAATCTATTGTCCTAAAATAATCTATTTGAATGGAAACTATCCCCTGAAGTCATCTTTAAACTAAATAGCAGTTTAACCTAATTGTTGTTGTTGTTGTCAGGTGCCATCGAGTCGGAACCAACTCATAGCGACCCCATGCACAGCAGAACGAAACAATGTCCGATCCTGGGCCAACCTCACTACCGCCGCCACACTTGACGCCATCAATGATGTCACCTGGCTGATCCTTCTTGTTGGGGGTCTTCCTCTTTTTCTCTGACCCTCCACCTCACCCAGCATGACATCCTTTTCCAGCGACTATTCTCTCCGGACAATGTGTCCAAAGTAGGAGAGACGAAGCCTAGCCATCTTGGCCTCCAAGGAACACTCTGGCTGCACTTCTTCCAAAATATATCTATTGGTCCTTTTGGCAGTCCATGGCACTTTCAGAATTCTCCTCCAACACCACAATTCAAAGGCATCAATTCTTCTACGATCTTCCTTATTCACTGTCCAGCTTTCGCATCCATATGAGGTTATTGAAAATACCATGGCCTGGGTCAGGCGCACCTTAGTCCTCAAGCTGACATCTCTACTCTTCAATACTTTAAAAAGTTCCTGTGCAGCAGATTTGCCCAATGCAATACGTCGTCTGATCTCTTGATTGCTGCTTCCGCGAGTGTTGATAGTTGATAGTTGATCCAAGAAGAATGAAGTCCTTGACAACCTCAATCTCTTCTCCATTGATAAGAATGCTGTTTATTGGTCTAGTGGTGAAGATTTCAAACGGCTTTGCAGTCTGGCGCATTAACCCACAGCGCCACACCAGGACTCTGTACAGGGTGGCTGATGGTCGGAACTGACGTGACAGCACTTACCAACAGCAACAACATAGATGTATATCCATTCAACAATATCTACAAGTACAGTCCAATGACATTGGTTACAATCTTCATATTCTGTCGCTATTCTCTGGTGTGGCAATGTGGGACACACACTGGACTGTAAGGTTGGTTTGAACTGCAAGGTCAGTGGTTCAAACTCACCAGCTGCTCCTCGGAAACCCTATACAGGATTGCTATGGGTCAAAATTGACTCGTTGGCATTTAATAACAACCACAATATACATGGTGGTGGTGGTGGTGGTGGGGTGTGCCATGTGGTCAGTTCTGACTCATAACAACCCTGCATAGGGTTCCCAAGGTTGTAAGTCTTTACAGGAACAAAAAGCCTCATCTTTCTCTCATGGGATGGTTGGTAGTTTCGAACTGCTGACCTGCATCCTGACTCTTAACCACTATGTTACTATATATATATATATATGAGTTGTTTTGTTTTGTATATTTTCACAAAAATAAGTAAAATGATTTAAACATTTCTCAAGCCTCCTTCACCTCTATAGCTGCTCACGCACTATATCCATGATGAATCCCTTACAAACATGGCCAAATACATTGGTGTTGCCTTCCTTCCACAAGTGGAAATACATGAGTCTCAAAGCAAGGACCAGAGAGGAGTGAAGTTCCTAACTGAAAAATATTAAGAGATTTTGGAGTAAAAAATAATAACAATGTTGTAAGCTTTCTTCCAGATCACTGAACACCTTTTGCAAACATAATTTTAAACAATAGTTAATGGAGTCATGGTATGGCACTGTAGGGTAAGCACTAAACCACAAAGTCCGTTTGAACAACAAGATTGGCGGTTCAAACTCACCAGCCGTTTCTGGGAAATCCTATAGAGGATCACAATGGGTTGAAACCAATTTGACAGTACTTAACAACACAATAGTTAACGGCTGTGTGTTGTTGTTGGTGGTGGTGACTCATAGTGACCCTGTGGGTTTCTGAGGAGAGGCTGGTGAATTTGAACTGCCATCTTTCAGTTAGCAGTCCAGTACTTATCTTACAGTACCAGACCAGGACTCCATGGCTGTCAAATTAATTATTAATTCATTAATGTATTAATTTGCTTTTCTTAAAGGATTTTCTCATTGTTGGATTTGGAGAGTTTTTTCTTTTTAAAGGTATATCTGGTATAGACAGCCTATGATAATAAAATGAAGTCACATTTACTTTAATTTCTATATTATAATAATTTCAAGCTGGATCTATGGAAGTTAACACCCCCAAAATTTGTTCCACAGAATTCCCAAAAGCCCCATCTTAAATCTGTTTTAAAAAATCTCAAATCTGTCTCATAGTGACCGTGTTAGGCAGGGTATAGCTAACCCATAGCAAAGCTGTAAATCTTTACTGAAGCCCACTAATCTTTCTCCCGGAAAGTTGATGGTGGGTTTGAACAGCTGACCTTCTGCTTAGCCATCAAGTGCTTAACCATTGCACTACCAAGGTTCCGTCTGTTAAAGATTGTTGTTGTTGTTAAGTGCCGTCGAGTCAGTTCCAACTCATAGCTATTTTCTATGAGGAGCAGCTGGTGAGTTTGAACCATTGATTTGCAGTTCAAACTTCCTTTCAGTCCAGTGTTTATCCTACAGTGCCACAAAGATTAGGCTTGCTAAAGTTCTTCTACTCTAAAATCCCTATGCAAATGCCCCTCTCCTCCTTCTTGTCCCATCCTCTCTTAGCTCCAGATCTCTGAAATCTCAGCTCTGCTGCTGCAAATGAGTCAGTGATGACAGAGTACAGAAGACATACTAAGTTTGACTATTTGCTACCACATTCTTACTTGAAACAGATCTTTCCCTTAATTTCTCCAGGCTAAACTATCAATTTTAGCAATGTTTTGAGAAATTTGAAGATTTCAGAAATAGAGTAACTTTCCTTGCTAGTAAATACAGCTTTTCTTCAATACACAAGCGAAATAAAACCTTCAATATCTTTGACAGGGTGCCTCTTTGTTGAGCTTCTTTCCTGTGTCACTGTGGACCAGTGTGATTATTAAGCTTAGAAATTTGGATTTGGGACTTATTGATGCTAATTTTCTCTTTTGCTTGCTTGAACCAGGAAGATGTAAAGTTGGGTTGGGGTGTCACTTTGTTGTTGTTAAGCATCTAGTCAGTTCCCACCCATAGCGATCCTGTATAGGGTTTCCGAGGAGCAGCTGGTGAGCTTGAACCAACGACCTTGCAGTTCAAAGAGACCTTGCAGCCCAGTGCATTAATCCACAGCGCCACACCAGGACTCCTTTCAGGCACATGTTGTTGTTGTTATGTGCCGTCGAGTCGGTTCCGACCCATAGCAACCCTGTGCAGGGTTTCCGAGGGCATACACACTAAAAAACATGAAGACTGAGTTGTAGAGAGAAAACAAAGCATGAGTAAAGATGAGTTCCAAATCTGTGAACCAAATGTCAGGCTGGAGAATTCACCTAACTCAAGTGGCTGTAAGGGTTGTTCATTGTGTTGTACAAAGGGCCATTATGAATCAGAACCAACTGGATGGCACCTACTACCAGCAACAACAAATCTCCATGCTGCTGCCATTATGCCTTTATTCCAGGCACATTGTTGTTGTTGTGAAGTGCCATCGAGTCAGTTCCAACCCATAGCAACTCTGTATAGGGTTTCTGCAGAGTGGCTGGTGAGCATGAACTGTAGACCTTGTGGATCAAACCAACTTGGCAATCCAGCGCATTAACCCACGGCACCACACCAGGACTTTAGAATGGAAAATATCTAGCATTGTGGAGAAGAAACTATGAAATCTGCAGTGGTAACTCAATTGGAAGACAGGATAAAGGCCCCCAACAAGATGGACTGTCGCAGTGGCAGGAGCAATGGACTCAAACGTAGCAACGATTGTGAGGTTGGCACAGGACTGGGCAGTGTTTTGTTCTGTTGTATATGAGGTCACTATGAGGCAGTACCGACTTGATGGCACCTAACAACAATACAGGTTGGTGATGTTTATTGTATGGTAGTTCCCAGAGTCCAAGCTCAGGAGTGCCCATTGTCTTGATGTAAAGACCTACTTTTTTCCCTTCAACCTCTGCAAAACAGTTCAAGTCCCTTTTTGTGGCAACACATTCCTTTACAACACAGTCTGATCTCACCTATGCTGTGAGGAATTAAGGAAATGGAACACACACTTGAACTTGAGACTTAGCAGTAAAGTGAAACACAATATCCTCTACTCCCTCACCCTGCTTCCCTTCACCCTTTTGTTGTTGTCGTGAAGTGCTGTCGGGTCAGTTGTGACTCATAGCAACCCTGTATAGGGTTTCTGAGGAGCAGCTGGTGAACTTGAACCGCACTGACTTTGCAGTTCAAACAGCTTTGCAGTCTGGCACATTAACCCACAGCACCAGCTGTAACAGCAAGACCCTCAGTGACCTGGAGCCACGGGAGATCAGGGACAGAGTCAGGATGGCCAAAACTGATTCCGGGACAGAGATGAGTCCATCTTCTTGAGCCATCTGAGATACCTGTGTTGGACTCTTGGAAATGACTGGGGGTAAGGAGACAGAGGTCCTAGATTCTTAAAATCCAGTAGGGAAGAGCCTCAAGTTTTTGAACTTGGTCAAACTTCAAAGACCGATAATGATGTACTATTGTCACAGACTAATGAGAGTTGTACAACCTGATTCTATTTGGGGATTCTATGGGACACTGTAGGATAAGCACAGGACTGCTAACCACAAGGTTGGTTCCTCAAACCCACCAACCACTTCTTAGAAACCCTATATAGGTTAATTGTATAGGAACCAACTCGATGGCACTTAACAACAACAATATTGCAAAGAAATTACTGGCCCTAGAATTAGGACTAGTTGACACTGGAAATAAGGATGAACACGTGATTTGTAATCGTGTTCCTTTTCCTTAAGAACCCAGTTTGCTTTGTCACTCTGTCTCTAAGGTGAACTCGGAGTTTCCAAGAAATGAACTATTTGCTACTTTAAACGTTAAATGACCAACTTGCAAAGTTCAAACTCATTAAAGATTTAAATTATAATCTAAAAACGATTTCTTCTCTGGGCACCAAGTTATATAGATTATCATTGCAGCTTAATCTTTATACTTTTATCTTTTGTTCCATTTCTGATTTCCTTCAGAATTAATTTTTAGGAACAGAATTGCTGAGTCAAAGGAGAAGAACATTTTTCAGTGTCTGGATACACAGTACCATATTGCTTTGTTTAGAACCAATTTACCTGGTCTCCAGTGGCTGTGAGAGTGTGCAGTTTTGTGCATGATCACTTCAACATCTCCATGAATTTGATGGTTTCAAATAGTACCTTGTTATTCATCAATCTCTATGATTGGTTGAGATTAACATTGTTTTCCTTATACTTGTTAGACATTTATAGCTCCTGTTTTGTGAAATGTCTATTCACAAAAATATTATTTATATGGGACATGGTCTTTTTATGTTAATAATTTGTGTGTCCTATTTTATATATGAAAACCATTAGCCTTTTATCTTCTCTATTTGTTACAAATATTTCTCTGGTTTTTCTTTTTAGTTGAAGATGTAGTTGAATGGCCCGCCTGCTTTGGGTTTTAGTTTCATCGCAAGATGCTGCTTTGGAATCTGTTCCTTAGTCCCCAAGGCCACAGACCATGGCCATATAATTGACACTACAGTTGGCCACCTACTGCCATCATCTGCTTCCATTTTTCCAAAAGGAAAAATCAGAGAGTAGAGAGAGTAGTTGTTAAGTACTGTTGAGTCGGTTTGACTCACAGTGACCCTGAAGAAGGTTTCCAAAGAGCAGCTGGTGAATTTGAACTGCTGACCTTGTGGTTCAAACCAACCTTACGGTCCATTGCTTTAACCTACCAACCCACACCAGGACTCCAAAGAGAGTTGTTGTTGTCAGGTGCTATCAAGTTGGAACCGACTCATAGCGACCCCATGCACAGCAGAACGAAACAATATCGGATCCTGGGCCAACCTCACTACCGCTGCCACACTTGAGTCCATCAATGATG